ATCGACAACGTCCGAAAGGACAGTCCTAGCCATAACAGAGACCCTACGCAGTGTAAGTATCATGATTCCATCTCTGTATATTGGCCATGTCCCGCATGCCAGAGGGATCTTACGAGAAGCAAAGGTGTTAAGAACCACCTCGATACCGAACCTGGTAAATGTCGTTTTGCTGAACCTTTTAAACTTCCAGACGACCACGACCCCGAAGGCAAAACCGTGCCACCTTGGTGGAAACCCTTACCTAAACCTGGTGAGGGCCAAGCTTCGGCTTCAGGTGGCCGCCAAGGCGCACGCGCCAGGCCACCGCGACCACGATCCTTCGGTAACGTTGATCCGACATCTGGTGCCAGCAGTTACGACATGCTACGAGACGCCCCCGAGCGTGGAAACACGCCTGCTGCGTCTTCTAGCGAAGCGCCACAGGTAGCGGCCCGTCGTGGCCGCCTACAAGGCGTACCACCACCTCCAGATGCAGTCGACGACGGAGACCCACTGCGGAGATCCACAAGGAACCCTCTTGCCTCTACCGGCTCTGGGGCTCCACGGCAACCCGACTGGACGAGATTCGACATCCAACACAGTCTGCAAAATCTCCGTAGTCACGAACCTCATGTCGTTAAAAAGGAACTCCGTAAACTGCACCTGCGATGGCACCATGCGAAGGAACCCAAGATGCGGCTAATCCTCGACAACGTGGGGCTGGATAACGTTCGACTGAACATGATCAAAGAAGTTTGCGATACCTGTCGGGAATGCAGAGCATGGGAACGTCCAGGAAACTCAACACTACCTTCGGTGAGCCTTCCTGGTAACTGGCTCGATGAAGGCGAAATGGACCTCATGTTCTACAAGAAACGGACCATATTTCACATTATGGATCGTTGTATTCGCCTGGCAGCAGGCCAAGAAATTTCCGACGGAGAACGTGACGCTATCCTTGACGCCTACCACAACTGCTGGATTGCCTATCGCGGACCCTTCAAAGTCTTATAATCAGACGGCGAAGGCGCCCTGAACAATGATGCCGCTAAGGCCATGATGGCCAATAAGGGCGCGGAACTTCGCATCCGAGCGCCTGGCCAACACGCGACTTCAATTGAGTCACGAAACGGCATTCTCAGAGGCGTCCTCCACATGATTGAGGAAGAGCTGAATAGACACAACATCCCTGTTGTATTCACTAGAGTATTGGCGGAAGGCATCTTCGTTACCAATGCCTTTACGTTTTACAGCGGAGCATCGCCATACCAAGCACACACCGGACGTCAGCCCTCCTTTCTTCCTGACCTCGACGCCCTTGGCTTTCCCAAGGGACCCGAGACATCAGGACACGAACGAGAACGTCGTGTGAGGGAAGTTAGCCTAGAAGCCATAACTCAAGCCACTGCTGTGGCCAAGACAAATCGTGCTCTTAGGGCTAAAACGGCTTCTGATGGTGCTCGCCTTTACTCTGCAGGGGATTTGGTCGACTACCATCGACCCACTGCCGCTAAGGACGATCATGGAGGCTGGAATGGCCCATTCCCGGTGATCCGTAATGTGCCTGAAAGAGGACATATTGTTGTCAAGGCAGGATCTCGTGAGGTAATTGTGATGTATCCTGATGCTCGTCACACGCTATACATCGAATGTCTCCTCACGCGGGAACTTGGCATGGATAATATGGCCATGCAAACCGTCCTTACATATGCGGCACACCTCGGCGCAGGGAAACCTGCCAAAGTTTTCGGCTATATCCCAGATTACAAGGGAAACCTCAATCTTTCAGACGACAGCAAGTTTCACCCGCGCGCACATCTAGCACTACAGTATCTCGTGCGAAACTTCGTCCGAGTAGAACATGTAGTAGCAGTTAGATTGGCCAAAAGTGTGTCAAGCTTACCTGCAGTAAAGTACGCCACCGGGTCTACGCTGATCCACTATGACAACGATATCAGCCCAGCTTTCCACTACTACGAGTGCGTGGGCACCGGCCTAAACATTTCTCAGATCACTGGTAGCACTCATTCCAGATTTATTCAATGCTTGACTTCACGTGTCCCTTCCTTAGGATTTCACGACGACCTGGCTAAACATCAGCACTCAAGCAACACGTCTGGAGAACACGATTCGCCTGGAAACAGGCCTCCTCCAGATACCCCAGGTGCTTCATCGCCGAGTGAAGGCCGTCTGTCGACAATCTATGAGGAAAATGAGGAACATAATATCGAATCTATGATGCTGGAAGAGTGGTACGACGAACTACGTATGGATCTTCATCCTACGACGACTACCGACGATTATCTCTACTGCGTCCCAACAACCATGCTGCCCGACCAATGTGTGTTGGTTTCAGCATCTGTGGACGAAGAAGATATCATATCATCGGACACGCTCGGAGACGAGCCTGAACCACGAGAGTCTTGTCTAGTCTCTCTCTGCTCAACCACACCTGACGAGCTACTCTCTTGACAGTGATGAATATGGTCTTTACGTTGAGTTATGTTTTACATCAGAAGTGTCAAAAGTAGTGTTGGATCAGACTCAACTTGCACAGCTCGACACTGACATGGTCGCAACGATGAGAGTATATGTATCCTCTGCTGCTAAACGTGCTGTAGTCGTTAAAGAAGATGACCTACTCACCAAAGCCGACATAGCAGCACATCCAAAGGAGGTTAGTGAAGCTTTGTATACTGAACTCAAAATCTGGATTGACAACCGATGCTTTGAGATGTATGATTTATCCAAAGCTTCCAACATCATGACATCCAGGTATGTATACAAGTGGAAGTTTTTAAAGGTGGGTACCGAGAACGTTAAAACCATTCGTCTCAGTTTTGTCCTTCGTGGATTTATGGATACTGAGGCTTTCGACGCGGAAACATTCTCGGGAACCGCCCGAAGGCAGCCCCAACGACTCCTGGCAAGCGAAGCGGCATGCCATCCAGAGTGGATCTTAGCATCCATGGATATCGACAAGGCGTTCCTCAAGGGTTCGACCTATGAGGAACTTGGCCATGCCACCGGCGAGGAAACTCGCATGGTCTGCTTCACTCTTCCACCGGGAAGTGCCCAGGTACTTCGTACACTACCCGGCTTCTCATCTTTTGACGAAAGCCGACACTGCCTCAGGTGCCTCAAACCAGGAACGGGTACAAAGGACGCTCCAAGAGCGTTCTCTCTCAAACTTCGTACGACAACGCGAGCTATAGGCCTTGCACCGACCAGTTATGACCCTGAATTTGAATTCAGCCAAGATCTGCTAACGGCAAAACATGTCGATGAGATTAACATGACAGGCCGAGAGAAAAATATAGACGACAATTATGTACAGCGTGTCGAAAAGGTGTTTGGCAAATGCAAGCTCAACAAACACTCATACGAACTGCGCCGTTCGCTACACCTAAGAATGATCAAGGGGATGTGATCATGGATCAGGACGAGTATATCCAACAACTACGTCCTATCACACGCCCAGAACTTACAGGAGCGGCGGCCGATGCCAAAGCCACGAAACTCATTACCGACATGTTCGTCAGCTTGCGAGGAGCCCTCGCCTATGCCCTTCTTACTCAACTATGGCTCATGGTATACGCGGTCTCTCTCCAGAAAATCCAAGAGCCCACCAATCTGCAAGTCAGACGTCTGAATGCTGTGACGCGAAAGCTGATCAGCAGCCCGAAACGCATCACCTTCCCTCGGATGAAGCCTACGAATGAGGTCGACATCCACAGCGATTCGGGGTATCGGAAGCTCACCGGGGAGGAGGATGATGAGACCCAGGGCTACGGCACACGCGGGGCTAATGTACTACGGCGAAGAAGCTCGTCTCAAGGCAAGTCCGTCGTTCACCTCTGTGACGGACTATGCAAATCACACCGACTGCAGGTGGGGTCCAGCTATGCTGCGGAGGCACTCGCAGCTGCGCATAACCTTGATGAGCGTTACCCTACGCTCATCACACTCCACGAGCTCAAGGCATGAGCTCTGACTCCACGACAACTACGAGATATGCGTAAAGTTGGAGGCCTAGCCATCAAAGTATCTCTTACCATAGACGCGGAGTCCGTTTATACATCATTACCAAGCAAGGATCTTAAGATACCGACAGAGCGGACTCTGCTTGGACATATCAGTTGGATACGTGAGCTCATGGATATAGGCATAGTACATAACGTGCAGTGGTGTGATACTAGGGATATGACCGCAGACGGGCATACAAAGGGAAGCATCCATCGGGAGCTGCTTCTGGAAGTAATGTCAGGCACTCAGTCATTCAAGTATGACGTGAAGCAGTTTGTTCCCTTTCGGGGTCCCGAGGACAGAAACAAACCTAGATCTAATCAGTTTTAGTCCGTCCTTGTTGCCCCCCCGCGCTCCAATTTGCCAGCATGGGCGCCTACTACAGAGGCGCCCTTCTAGTTGCTCGGAAACGAGCCTTACATTTCACGCCTGGCAACGAGCCGGCTTTATATGACTCAGGCCCTTTGCCTTAATACCTATTTGCTCGGTGAGGTATGGCCCGTTTGGCTTACCTCTACTGAGCCGACAGCCCTTCATCGTTCGAAGGGGCTATCTTGTATTTGCGTGAAATGCCTTGCGAGGAAACCCGCCTTACAGTCTGGTGTCAGGCCAGACTGTACACACTGTTTTCTCTCTTGCAAACAGTTGTGCGCGCGGCCTTTGCAGAGCCTAACGGCTGCGCGGCTATGCTCTCCGTCTCCTCCCCTCCCGACTTTAAGGGTAGCTCTTTGGGAGATGTTATAGCATCGGGAGCATAGCTCGCGCGCCGTTGCCTTTGGCTCAAGGCACGCGCGCCCTATTTGCCCGGACACTTACCTTAGTGTTCGCTATGTGCTGGAAAGACCGATACATCGATCTTACCCTATCATACCCATCCACTCCCCATATCGTATTCCTTCGACATGGAATTGGATGCAATGTGAGCTCATCCGCATCCCATGGAGACGGATGCTATTTGACCTACCAGGCTCACTTTCGACTTTCCTGCCGTCCACCTCCAGCGTCTCCTCCTTTGAGTACTTGCGGTTGAGGCTCGTCTTGTGGTACTTCCCCTCGCAGTTCTTCCCCCCGTAATCCAACGGCTGCTGGTGCACCTTCAACGGCGCCGGCGTCGCCAGCGGGTCCTCCGCCTCCATGGAGCTCCCGCTCAGGTTGCGGATGTCCATTTCTTCGATCTTGAGTCTTCAGTTCCTTCCGCGAAACCAGCTGCTCCAATTCCTGCTGGAGGTAGTTCTCGAACTGTTTCTTCTCGCTAGTGGCCGCGTACTGCTCCCCCGATAGGTCCGAACGCAGCTCCTTCTCCTTCTTGGCGTCCTCGATGGCATTGCGGTTGCGAGCCCGCTCCACGAGCCACGAGGACCGATGGGTTGATGAGCTTCACCTTGCGGCCATGGGCACCAGACTCCGCCATCTGCGCACACAACAATGTGCATTGTACAATGTGCGTTGTCGTAAAAGCCGCGTGTAAGCCCTTGCAGAAAGTGCCAGCCTGGAATCCGAGCTGCTCCGAGAGGAAGCAGGCGCCGACGTGAACCACCAGCTGTTGCATACGTTCACGGCAGGGCCCGCGGCCGCTGGGCGGCTCCGAAGCGCGCCGTCCCTCTCTCCCCCGATATCGCGGGCGGAGCCGCTAGGAGGAGGCGGAGGAGGAGGAGGAGGAGGAGGAGGAGGAGGAGGAGGAGGAGGAGGAGGAGGAAGACGAGGACGAGGACGAGGACGAGGAGGAAGAGGAGGACGAGGACGAGGACGAGGACGAGGAGGAGGAGGAGGACGAGGAGGAGGACGAGGACGGGGAGAAGGAGGAGGAGGAGGCACGAGGAGGCACGAGGAGGAGGAGGAGGAGGAGGAGAAGGAGGAGGATAAGGCAGGAGGGGACAAAAGGACGAGGTGGCAGGAGCGGCAGCGAGAAGGCGGCAGGCGGCGACGCCACCGCCGCCGCCGCCAGCCGTCGGCTGTCGCCGCCGCCGGCCGCCGCCGTTGGTCGCCGTCGCTGGCCGTCGCCGGTCGGCGTCGCCGGCCTGCGGCGCTTGCGGGCCGGGCGGCGCGCACATCAAGCAGTGGCGAGGCGACGACGATGACGACGACGAGGAGGAGAGGAGGAAGAAAACGAGGAGGAGGGCGCAGGAGGGCGCAGGAGGAAAAGGAGGAGGGGGAAGAGGAGGAGGAGGAGGAGAGGAAAAGGAGGAGAAGGAGGAGGAGGAGGATCAGGAGGAGGAGGAGGGAGAGGAGGGAGTTGACGACGATCTTGCCTATAAGCCCACCGGAAAATGTTCTAAGAATGTGTGTGTGTTTTGCACGACAGGTTCTTAGATCATTTCTGGCTGGAGCGGTCCTGCTTCCACACATCGGCTGTTTATGTTATGTGAGCACTGTGCTTTTCTGATTCGAGCACTTCTGGGTTCTGAGAACATGTCGTAGTAGGCCTATAGGAATGCTCGGACGGTCGGTCCCTGCTCAAGTTTGGACGGTCCGAAATGGGTACGAAAAAATGGGCACAATGCCCAACAACAAATGTTGTCCAGGACCGTCAGCGGCCGCTGTTGGGCAGGCGGCCCTCTGTCTCCAAAGACTCACGTCCGCGGCGGCGCGGACAGCGAGCCCTGTTCAGAATGAACAGGAATTGCTGTTGGGCATCGTATCCATTCTTTCCGTACCCATTTCGTTCGTGCCGAGCAGAGATACAATCGATTCGGAAGGGCTCAGCTTCGGAAGGGCTCGGCTTCGCTCAAGACGACTCGAACGCTTGACTGGGGAAGTCCCTTCGGGCCGCCCTCTCCATCAGGAGTCGGGTCACCGAAGCGCACGGGGCCCTTCTTTGAGGCCCTGGGTTAGGTCGGGCCTGTCCCCATACAGGAGAATTGTGAGCGACAAAAATTAAAGATTCTCAAAAAGTGTCCCAAATGGTCACACACTGCTCAAGACATCGTCCCCAGAGTATTTTTTTACTATTTGTGAAAGTCCCCCCTGTGGAGGGACAGGCCCGACTTGAGCCTTGGGGTGCCTTCCCAAAACAAGTAGAGACCAAACTGCTGCTGGGCGAAGTTATTCGCACTTCGCGCTTCGCGCAGCGAGAAGCGCGAAGTTGGGAGCCCTTGTGGATCCGCGTTTGGCCCCTCCAGCGGCGCCTCCGGCGCCACCCCTGGCGCGCTCCGCGCCTCGGGGAGGGGGGTCCAGCGCAGATGCAAGAAATCCGCGCGGAACGCCAACAGTTTATGTTTCTGGCTTTTGTTCTTCATCTAAAACAGGCCCACTCGCAAATGTCTAAAGAACAAGTGTTGGTCGATCCAATGGAGCCCGCTTGCTTCGATGCAGTGGAACCAGGCCGCTGCGAGCAGCTACTTTGCAAGTGGTGCGACGCACTTGTCTACTCACCATTTCTTCTCCTCCTCCCCTGAGAACCTGGCGTCTCAGTTCTTTCGAGCCGGGCGTTTCCCCAATTTTTCGGGCCCCATGCCATGACCCTCACAGATCGATCTGGCTCCAACCTGCCGCAGAGAGGTGGGGTCTAAGGCTCCAGGCATAATTTTTTACGATGTTCCTCGAGTTCTTCGAGTCGGCCCTCAGTTCTTCGAGTCGGCCCTGTCCCTCTCCAGTAGAGACCAACAGGTAGAGACCTTTCCGCACCCACTTCGATCGTCCCCGCTCGAGCCCAGGCCACGCGCCGGCCTGCGGGGGGAGCGTTCGCTGGGCGCCCGGGCGCGCGTCGCCGCCTCCGGGGCGGCCGGCGCCGGGCGCCCAGGCGGCCGCCGCCAGGCGCCCCCGGGGGCCTGCTTCCCTCCCTGACATCCTCGGGGGCCCCCAAACGGAGGAGGAGGAGGAGGAGGAGGACAAGGAGGACGAGGAGGAGGAGGAGGAGGACGAGGAGGAGGAGGAGGAGGGGGAGGAGGAGAAGGAGGACGAGGAGGACGAGGAGGACGAGGAGGAGGAGGAGGACGAAGAGGAAGAATCACCTCCTGGGCCTCCAAACGGCGTGGTGACCACACCCTGCGACGCCCTAGCTGGCGACAGCTGCAGGTCCGATGCCTGACCTAACAGCAGGATCTTTTTGGCCGGGTGATCGGGGCCACACTGCATCGCAGGATCACCACGCCGTATCTCCCGAGGGGCGGAGTTCGGCTGGTGGACTGAGGGGAGATTCGAGGGCCCCCAAACGGGGTGGTGACCACACCGTGTGGTGAGTCGGTGGAGTGTCGGGGTCCCCGCATGGTTTTGGGACTCGGGTCGTTCTCCGAGGACGTCTCGGGCGACTGGGGCAGGCGAGGACCGTGTGGTGAGGTCTTGGGGGATTTCGAGGTCACCGCACGGTCTGTCACCGCACCGTTTCGGGACTCCAAAGATCCTGGCGTGGCGGTTTTTTGGGCGACGGGCGTCGGCCACGCTCAGAGGGAGGCAGGAGGAGGGGGGAAGGCTTCTTAGAAGCACCCCTGCTTCTTAGAAGACGCAGGCCTTTTCTATAGATGTAAGGCAGGCGCCTTCTAAGAAGCAGCCTCCTTCTAAGAAGCCTTCCCCTCTCCCCCTATACCCCCTTGTGCGCGCCGCCAAGGGCTTTGTCGCTCAATTTAGGGCACCGGGGCCCTCTCAGATCGATCCAGCTCGAATCATGACGCAGAAAGATGGTGTCTGGGGTTATGGTCGTGATTTGTTCCGATGGTGCAATTCTTGTTGCAACGTCGGATCTCAAATCTCAAGGGTCCTCACTCACCGAGCGCGTTTCACTACTCGCAAAGTCGAAGACGAAAAAATGACATTCACAAAACTGTTGGCGCTCCGCGCGGATTTCTCGGATCGGCGCCTGGGCCCCCCCGGCGGCGCCTCGGGCGCCACCCCTGGCGCGCGGAGGGCGCCAGGGAAGGGGGTCCAGCGCAGATGCAAGAAATCCGCGCGGAGCGCCAAACGTTTATGTTTTTGGCGTTTTTTCTTCGTCTAAAGCAGGCCCACTCGCAAACGTCTAAAGAACAAGTGTTGGTCGATCCAATGGAGCCTGCTTGCTTCGATGCAATGGAACCAGGCTGCTGCGAGCAGCTACTTTGCAAGTGGTGCGACGCACTTGTCTACTCACAATTTCTTCTCCTCCTCCCCTGAGAACCTGGCGTCTCAGTTCTTTCGAGCCGGGCGTTTCCCCAATTTTTCGGGCCCCATGCCATGACCCTCACAGATCGATTTGGCTCGAGCCTGCCGCAGAGAGGTGGGGTCTAAGGCTCCAGGCATAATGTTTTACGATGTTCCAATGTTGTTGCCACGTCGGATCGCAGGTTCCTCCTCCTCCGCGTCCTCTTCTTCCTCCTCCCCCTCCTCCTCCCCCTCCTCCTCCTCCTCCTCCTCCTCCTCCTCCTACCCCTGCTGTGTTCGTTCCCTCTGTCGGCCTCGCGCGCGGCGGTACAGCGGACCCAGGCGCCCCGCGCTCCCTGCTTCGTGGCGGCACGCGGTCGGGGCTGCAGGGCTGGTCAGGTCAAGCCCTGGCCTCCCGCGGACGGAGAGGTCCCCAGCAGAGGGGGTCAAGCAGGCGTTGATTGTTAGAAATAGTGGAAGAAGATTCAGAAATTGACAACGTGTTTTCACTATCTCCGAATATTGTTGAGCATTTGTTTGACTACTTTTCATTCCTCGCCTGCACTTCCCCCCGCCGATGTATCTCAACATTGATTCCTTGAACACAGGATTGGCTCGAGTTGTCTTTGAAAAATTGCTGTCCCATCAGACCGTTCACAGTTTGATGGTTGATGCTTTTGCTGCAGCATGCGGCGAACAGCCGCAGCAAAAGCATCAATTTCAGGATCGGCGTGTTGCTGACGCCGTTCAGATTTGCACTCTCGCCCCAGGAGTAGCCACATTTCAAGATCCGATTCGCTCCTCGCCGTTGCCGTCCCTGTCATTTGACCTCAGCATTATCCTGTCCTCCTGTTCCTGCAATGATTACTTCTCCTGCTGCTCCCCCTTCCTCATCACCTCGCTCATTATCCTGCCCATCCCCCCTTGGCTGATTGCGCATCCCACATTGGGGCCATTGTGGGGACCAAGGTCATCCAGGACACGCCTCGATCAGGACATCCCGTGGGCCCCTGGGCGCACATTGGTGGGCTGAGAACATCCAAATACCTCCAACCTGGATCCCCCGATCCCTCCATCTTCAAAACACGACGCCAGCGATGACGGCGCCACCGCCGCCGTCGCCGCCGCCGACGTCTGTCGTCGTCGTCGGTCGCCGTCCTCTTCGCTGCCACCGTCGTCGCCGCCGCAGCCGCGCCGCCGCCGGCCGCGACCGCCGCCGGCCGCCGCCGCGGCCGACGTCGGTGGGCTCCCGGCAGGCCGTCGGC